TGTTTATTTTTTCATACACATTGTACTTTTTAGGTATACACCAAAAAAATTCTATACATTTAAATTTTTTCTAAAATGCATGATTAACATTTTCAAATGTTTTATCTAAAATTTATTTTGTAAATATATATATTTAGAAGTATTTCAAAAGTAAAAAAAGAAAGTAAGAAGTAAAATAAAACGCGTAAAAACCCAGAAAAAACAAGGCTGTTGCTAGTGGCTTGCCACGAGCTGGGCTGGCCCAGTCTCGCGCTCGCTCGCGCGCAGGCGAGGCTGCCCTACGTCTCGCAACAAGCGAGACGTTATGCGCGCCCGCTTCATGTGGTGTAGGAGATTTTTTTTTTTTGAAAATGTGGTGTAGGAGATTTATTTCCCGAAGTGTGTTTTTTCCTCGTCTTTGTGCTTCGGCTCTTGGGTCTAATAAATCCGGACGGAGAGAGTAGCATGGGCTTGGCTGAAGGAAATATGCCATAGAGGCAATAATAAAATTGTTATTTATATTTTCTTATATCATGATAAATGTTTATTATTCACACTAGAATTGTATTAACCGGAAACTTGATACATGTGTGAATACATAGATAAAACACAAAGTCCCTAGTAAGCCTCGACTAGTCTAGCTCGTTAATCAAAAATGGTTTAGTTTCCTAACCATAGATATATGTTGCCATTTGATGAACGGGAACACATCATTAGAGGAATGATGTGATGGACAAGACCCATCCGTTAGCTTGGCATAATGATCATTAAGTTTATTGCTATTGCTTTCTTCATGACTTGTACATATTCCTTTGACTATGAGATTATGCAACTCCTGAATATCGGAGGAACACCTTGTGTGCTATCAAACGTCACAACGTAGCTGAGTGATTATAAAGATGCTCTACAGCTATCTCTGAAGGCATTTGTTGGGTTGGCATAGATCAAGATTAGAATTTGTCACTCCAAGTATCGGAGAGGTATCTCTGGGCCCTCTCGGTAATGCATATCCCGATGAGCCTTGCAAGCAATGTGACTAATGAGTTAGTTGTGAGATAATGTATTACGAAATGAGTAAATAGACTTGCCGGTAACAAGATTGAACTAGGTATGAGGATATCGACAATCAGATCTCGGGCAAGTAACATATCGATGAGAAAGGGAATGACGTGTGTTGTCATTGCGGTTTGACCGATAAAGATCTTCGTAGAATATGTAGGAACCAATATGAGCATGCAGGTTCCGCTGTTGGTTATTGGTCGGAGATGTGTCTCGGTCATGTCTACATAGTTCTCGAACCTGTAGGGTCCGCACGCTTAACGTTTGATGACGATTTGTATTATGAGTTATGTGTTTTGGTGGCTTAAGATTGTTCGGAGTCTCGGATGAGATAACAGACATGACGAGGAGTCTCGAAATAGTCGAGATGTAAATATTGATATATTGGACGACAGTATTTGGACACAGAATGGTTTCAAAGCATTTCAGATATTTATCGGAGTACCGAGGGGTTACCGGAATCCCCCGGGAAAAGTAATGGGCTACTATGGGCCATAGGGGGAGAGAGAGGGCAACCTACAAGGGGTAGCACCCCCCCATGGGCAGTCCGAATTGGACAAGGGGAGGGGGGCGCGGCCCCCTTTCCTCCCCCTCTCCCTCCCCTTCCCCCTTTCCCCCTCCATGAGAAGGTAGGGGGAAACCGACTAGGACTAGGAGTCCTAGTGGGTTTTCCCCACACTTGGCGCACCCCTTAGGGCCGGCCTCCTCCCCTCTCCTCCTTTATATACGGGGGCAGGGGGCACCCCAAAGTACATCAATTGTTCTCTTAGCCGTGTGCGGTGCCCCCTCCATAGTTTACTCCCCCGATCATATTGTCTTAGTGCTTAGGCGAAGCCCTGCGCAGATCACATCACCATCACCGTCACCACGTCGTCGTGCCGACGAAACTCTCCCTCGACACTTTGCTGGATCAAGAGTTCGAGGGACGTCATCGAGCTGAATGTGTGCAAAACTCGGAGGTGCCATACGTTCGGTGCTTGATCGGTTGGATCGCGAAGACGTTCAACTACATCAACTGCGTTAAGCTAACGCTTCCGCTTTCGGTCTACGAGGGTACGTGGGCACACTCTCCCCCGCTTGTTGCTATGCATCTCCTAGATAGATCTTGCATGATCGTAGATTTTTTTTTTGAGATTGCATGCTACTTTCCCCAACAATGGTATCAGAGCCACGTTTATGCGTAGATGATATGCACGAGTAGTACACAAAGAGTTGTGGGTGATCGTAGTCATACTGCTTACCACCAACGTCTTATTTTGATTCGGCGGTATTGTTGGATGAAGCGGCCCGGACCAACCTTACATGACCACGTTCATGAGACCGGTTCCATCGATAGACATGCAACTTGTTTTGCGTAAAGGTGGCTGACGGGTGTCTGTTTCTTCAACTTTAGTTGAATCAAATTTGACTACGGCCGGTCCCTATTGAAACTTAAAACAACACATTTGACGAAAAATCGTTGTGGTTTTGATGCGTAGGTAAGAACGGTTCTTACTAGAAGCCCGTAGCAGCCACGTAAAACTTGCAACAACATAGTAGATACGTGTAACTTGTTTTTGCGGGGCATGTTGTGATGTGATATGGTCAAGACATGATGTGATATACGTTATTGTATGAGATGATCATGTTTTGTAAAAGTTATCGACTACTGGCAGGAGCCTTATGGTTGTCGCTTTATTGTATGAAATGCAATCGCCATGTAATTGCTTTATTTTATCACTATGCGGTAGTGATAGTTGTAGAAGCAATAGTTGGCGAGACGACAACGACGCTACGTTGGAGATCAAGGTGTCAAGCCGGTGACGATGGAGATCATGCCGGTGCTCTAGAGATGGAGATCAAAGGCACAAGATGATGATGGCCATATCATGTCACATATTTGATTGCATGTGATGTTTATCTTTTATGCATCTTATTTTGCTTAGTATGACGGTAGCATTATAAGATGACCCCTCACTAAATTTCAAGGTATAAGTGTTTTTACTGAGTATGCACTGTTGTGACAGTTCGTCGTGCCGAGACACCACGTGATGATCAGGTGTGACAAGCTCTACGTTCACATACAACAGGTGCAAGACAGTTTTGCATGTGCGGAATACTTGGGTGAAACTTGACGAGCCTAGCATGTACAGACATGGCCTCGGAAGACTGAGACCGAAAGGTCGAACGTGAATCATATAGTAGATATGATCAACATAGAGATATTCACCATTGAAAACTACTCCATCTCACGTGATGATCAGATGTGGTTTAGTTGATATGAATCACGTGATCATTTAGAAGACTCGAGGGATGTCTATCTAAGTGGGAGTTCTTTAGTAATATGATTAATTGAACTTAAATTTATCATGAACTTAGTCTTGATAGTTTTTCCATATCTATGTTCTAGATTAATGGCCCATGCTACCGTTCCCTTGAATTTTAATGCGTTCCTAGAGAAAGCTAAGTTGAAAGATGATGGTAGCAACTACACGAACTAGGTCCATAACTTGAGGATTATCCTCATTGTTGCACAGAAGAATTACGTCCTTGATGCACCGCTAGGTGCAAGGCCTGCTGCAGGAGGAACTCCGGACATTATGAACGTCTGGCAAGCTAAATCTGATGACTACATGATAGTTCAGTGTGCCATGCTTTACGGCTTAGAATCGGGACTTCAAAGACGTTTTGAAAGGCATGGAGCATATGAGATGTTCCAGAAGTTGAAGTTAATATTTCAAGCAAATGCCCGAGTTGAGAGATATGAAGTCTCCAACAAGTTCTATAGCTGCAAGATGAAGGAGAACAGTTCTGTCAGTGAACACATACTCAGAATGTCTGGGTACCATAACCACTTGACTCAGCTGGAAGTTAATCTCCGGATGATAGTGTCATCGACAGAGTTCTTCAATCACTGCCACCAAGCTATAAAGGCTTCGTGATGAACTACAATATGCAAGGGATGAACAAGACGATTCCCGAGCTCTTCGCAATGCTCAGGGCTGCGGAGGTAGAAATCAAGAAGGAGCATCAAGTGTTGATGGTTAACAAGACCACTAGTTTCAAGAAAAGGCAAAGGAAAGAAAGGGAACTTCAAGAAGAATAGCAAGCAAGTTGCTGCTCCCAAGAAAAAGCCCAAGTCTGGACCTAAGCTTGAAACTGGGTGTTGCTACTGCAAAGGGATTGGTCACTGGAAGCGGAACTGCCCCAAGTATTTGGCGGATAAGAAGGATGGCAAAGTGAAATTAAAGGTATATTTGATATACATGTTATTGATGTGTACCTATTTACATATATTAAAACTGAGCACCCTCCCAGCCCTCTCAAGCCATCAACATTTTTGTTCGTTAGATCATCATTTTTAGTCGTTTTTGGCCATCGGATTCGTTATTAGTCCCACCTAAATCTCGTTCGCAGGCTAACTCGCGCGTCAGGCTGCACTGGGCTTTTCAGGCAGCTACTCCGGTGGCATTTTTGGGTCTCTCACGTTCAATTGGGCCTACTGGGCCTTTTCTACCATGCTGGCCTTTTCTATCATCCTATCCAACACAAGACGAAGCCCTAAACCACGTTCACGACCCTGCTCTGTTCCGATTGCGCCGCCTGACATGCCCTCGGATTGCATTGGCGGCTGCCTGCCGACGCGAGTGGCGCGGCGGATGGGAGCGACCGCGTGCGAGGCGCGTAGTGGAGCAGCGCAGAATGGAGAGGAGCGGCCGGTGTGCGTTGGTTGATTGGATCCACCGAGCTGTGCGGGAGAGATGGGATGGGATGCGTCCGCCGTCCCCAGATCAATCCATCATTGTCCCTCCTGAAAAAATTTGCTCAACGCGAGGGGGGAAGGGGATCCGCCGCCGCAGGCTATTCTGATCGACGCCATGGCTGCTCGTTCAAGCAAAAGTGCTCCGGTGAAGTTGTGCCGCCACTGGCACTGCCACTAGAACCACTACCGCTCGAGGTCGATGGATCTCTGAGGCAACCCCATGGCCCGATCCAAACGGGGCGGCTGGACTGCCTGCGCGGCGGTGGACGACGTTGCCCAGACCAACAACATCGTCCAGCGCCTCAACGACTTCTCCTCCATTGCGCACATCCCTAGGATGGGCCTCAAGGTCGTGCCGATGATCGCGGCCTTCTCCAACCTCCACACAGTCAACCTCTCTGGTGCCGATGATGAAATAATTTCTGCCATCGCTGCATTACTACATCCTCCGATTGCTCATATATCATTCTGTGTAGGATATTTTCCTTTCTTCATTCCTTGTAGTCATTTGTCAGACATGTTTTTCACAGTTTCCATTTTGCTTGGCATCTTGCTCACTCCCCTTATGATGCATCTGACTTCTTGTTGACTGTTGCTTGTTATAGGAATTGCCCTGCTCGTTCGCTCGAAGGTTCTATATCCCAGAGTGTATGTATCAGTCGGAACTGAGAATTTGCTCCTGGATAGGTACAATTGTTTTCCAGTACCTACATCTTATATCTATGCACCATTGAGGATCTGAAATCAGTTGTCCAGTTTGTCCCTCAAAGAATGTAGTCAGTCCTATTCCTATGGTGTATAAGGACATTTGTTTCGTATACATGATTTCCCAGCAGCAATTTATACACAAGCTAACTCCAAAGAGACGACTGATCAGGCTAATCGCAAAGCTATTCAGGGAGTAAAGGGGTAGTACTAGAAGAGGAAAAAACGTATACAGTGTCAGCCTATAAGAACATTAGTTGTCCTGTTTACTTTCGTCAATGAACAACAAAGATTTCACTGCCAGAAAAAAAAAGATATGGATTAGTATCCCTCTGGACAAATAAGAAAATGCTACCGCTTCAAGGATTTCAGTCATCCTTGCGGCTTTAGGAACTATATAACAACAGCGTCCATATGTATTTTTATACAATTTTTTCTTCTGTAGTTAAGATTTTCTTGTGCAAAGTATCTAATATCAATCATGTACATCTTTTTGGCCATGCTTATACCTTGAAATAATAGAGCCATTTTATTGAAAATTCACTCATGATTTTACTCTTTTTTCTGAATAAGTTTAACTGTGTTAGTCGTACAATTCGCCGGGAGCAAGACCAAATTCAACAAGGCAATAAAACAAAGCGTGGAGCACCTAAAGAACATCCAATATTCCCAGAGCATACGAGGAGGTACTGCTCTTTTACTGAACAACATGGTCACATTTTTTTACTGAGAGAAGCATGCTCACGTTGAGGCATCCTGAATTTTTGTGCGGCCATGTATGACGTTGTGATAGTCTTATGCTGATTTTGCGAGATATAGGTATCTTGACTTTGAACATCAGTTGTAAATAAGACGAGAAGTTGTATCGATAGCATCGGTTTTATTCCCTTGCATCAAAATGAAGAATTTCCTCGCTAGATTTTCATAACATAAATATACCACCCAGATCGCTCTCGAAGGGTCTGCACTCACTGGATATGTCGTGGAATAAGATCACAAATGTCGAGGGGCTCTGGGAACTGATGAACCTACGCGTGCTCAACCTCATCTACAACTAGATTTCATGCACCGGACTGGGTAAGTCGCAGCCTTTTCAGACTCAGGATTCTTGCATTGCGCTGCACATCTTCAGTAAATTCCTTAGATTTATGTAGTAATTCCACAAATAAGAATAGTTTGATTCATATTTTTCTTGTGCAAAAATACAGCATACTTAATTCTATGGGTAACATTCATAAATCAGTATGTGTTTGCAACAACATAGAGGGATAATATGTGATTGCCATTTTGCGGATCAGGTACATACTTGGAGATAACATGATGGTAAGAAGGCAAGAAGTAGGTACATGTATGAGTGGGTTTCTGGAGTCTCAAGGGGCACATATGAAGTATCCACACGAAAGCATGTTGAGTACCTGAGGGCTTGTATCAGTGCCCAGCATGACGGCGAACTATTCTCTGAAAAAATTGCTAATGAATCTCTGTTCAATGGTACGTGAAAAAAGAACACTGATTTGGTCTGAGATTTTGGTCTGATCATGTATTGTTGTGCCAACAGGGGCTACATTCCTTCTAAACTTCTGTGGCGTTATCAACACGATCTTAAAGTGCAGGGTGTGTGCGCACATATAACACTTAGCAGATTATTGTGAATCTTAAGGAAGGAGCACATCTCAATGCTGTCTGTAAGCATTTTGTGCTCTTATCATGGGTAATGCCCATTCTTTAATATACAAGAAGTTCAACTCTGAGTGCTTCTCAGGACATGACTAATGTCTTTTGCAGTGTTGATAGTTGTCAGGAAAACAAAGATCTTAAGTCAAGGAAGGTAGTAGTATGTATGCGTCTTCAGTCACTATTGTTGCGGCATGTTTGAAGGTAAAAGTAGCAGCCTGATGCCATGTATAGTAAGGTTAAGATACTTATTTTGAGATGGAGGGAGTACAACACTACAAAATGAAAGGTTTTCCAGCTGTTCTTTTGTCACTTAACCAGGAGTAGCTGGAGATGCAAATCAAGCAAATTGCATATTGTAAGGTTTGCTCCTTCAAGTAGCTACACATATATTGTCTTAGTTAAGTAAATTCTCAAATGAGTGTTTGCTGAAATTCTCATGTAGATTTAAATATTGGCTTTGAATCATGTTTCAAAAACCAGGATATATGCAGCCTTGAAAGAGATCATGAGAACCTGCAAGGGCATTATTCAATGTTCTAAATATTGCATATCATATAGTTGCGTGAGGCCCTTGAATCTTGAGTTCCTTTTGCTCAAAGTTGGGGAATTTGTGAGGCCATTTTGGATGCTATGTGTTTGTGGTGTATATTTTGTATAGTGATTGGTCTTACTACTCAAGCAGACATATTTAGTCTCCTATGTCTATTGTTTATTGTTCTTTTATGAACAAGTATATTGATCAGTGCTATGTTCTCTTAAATGAGAAAGAGTTCAATTCATTAATGTTCTTAAAAGACAAAAACTTGTTTAGTATTTAATTTTTCATATATCATTCCACTACTTATTAGCAGGAAATTCTATTACCATTGTTGTTCTTAAAAGACAAAAAAAAGTAGTATTACAATTTTCATATTTCATGCCACTATGCATTAGTAGGAGTTTGTATTATTATATAAAAAAATTGGGCGCGCATAACAACACATACCACACTACTTTCTTGCTAACCAGTCAGATTACTTTTCATTTACATACCACTATATTGGAAAATAAAGATGATAAGAACAAAGCACAAGAAAAGCATAATACTTATACTTACACATACAAATGTATGCAAATTACTTTATATCCCTAACAACCATGAGTCAAAATAGACGGGCGCAGCAACGCGCGCCATCAATGATCTAGTAATGCTCATAGTAGCGCCTGGGTATTTGATACTGGTTCTGTTGCTCATATTTGCAACTCGAAACAGGGTCTACAAATTAAACGAAGATTGGCTAAGGACAAGGTGATGATGCGCGTCGGAAATGGTTCCAAGGTCGATGTGATCGCCGTCGGCACGCTACCTCTACATCTACCTTCGGGATTAGTTTTAGACCTAAATAATTGTTATTTGGTGCCAGCGTTGAGCATGAAACATTATATCTAGATCTTGTTTGATGCGAAACGATTATTCATTTAAATCAGAGAATAATGGTTGTTTTATTCATATGATTAATATCTTTATGGTCATCCACCCTTGATGAGTGGTCTATTTTTGTTGAATCTCGATCATAGTGATATACATATTCATAATATTGATGCCAAAAGATGCAAAGTTAATAATGATAATGCAACTTATTTGTGGCACTGCTGTTTAGGTCATATTGGTGTAAAGCGCATGAAGAAATTCCATGCATATGGGCTTTTGGAATCACTTGATTATGAATCACTTGATGCTTGCGAACCATGCCTCATGGGCAAGATGACTAAGACACTCTGTTCTCCGGAACAATGGAGCGAGCCACTGACTTATTGGAAATAATACATACTGATGTATACGGTCTGATGATTATTGAGGCTCGCGGCGGGTACCATTATTTTCTGACCTTCACAGATGATTTTAGCAGATATGGGTATATCTACTTAATCAAACATAAGTCTGAAACATTTGAAAAGTTCAAAGAAATTTAGAGTGAAGTGGAAAATCATCGTAACAAGAAAATAAAGTTTCTACGATCTGATTGCGGAGGCGAATATTTGAGTTGTGAGTTTGGTCTTCATTTGAAACAATGTGGAATAGTTTCACAACTCACGCCCCCTGGAGCACCACAGCGTAATGGTGTGTCCGAACGTCGTATCCGTACTTTATTAGATATGGTGCGATCTATGATGCCTCTTACTGATTTGCCACTATAGGTTTGGGGTTATGCATTAGAGACAATTGCATTCACGTTAAACAGGGCACCATCTAAATCCATTGAGATGACACCGTATGAACTATGGTTTGGCAAGAAACCTAAGCTGTCATTTTTTAAAGTTTGAGGTTGCAATGCTTATGTGAAAAAGCTTCAGCCTGATAAGTTCGAACCCAAGTCGGAGAAGTGCGCCTTCATAGGATACCCAAAGAAAACTGTTGGGTACACGTTCTATCACATATCCGAAGGCAAGATATTTGTTACTAAGAATGGATCCTTTCTAGAGAAGGAGTTTCTTTTGAAAGAAGTGAGTGGAAGAAAAGTAGAACTTGATGAGGTAATTGTACATTCTCTCGAGTTGGAAAGTAGTTCATCACAGAAATCAGTTCCAGTGATGCCTACACCAATTAGTGAGGAAGTTAATGATGATGATCATGAAACTTCAGATGAAGTTACTATCGAACCTCGTAGGCAACCAAGAGTACGTTCCGCACTAGAGTGGTACGGTAATCCTGTTCTGGAAGTCATGTTACTAGATCATGACGAACCTACGAACTATGAGGAAGCGATGAGGAGCCCAGATTCCGCGAAATGGCTTGAGGCCATGAAATCTGAGATGGGATCCATGTATGAGAACAAAGTATGGACTTTGATTGACATTCCCGACGATCGGAAAGCCATAGAAAATAAATGGATCTTCAAGTAGAAGACTGACGTTGATGGTAATGTTACTGTCTACAAAGCTCGACTTGTTGTGAAAGGTTTTCAACAAGTTCAAGGAGTTGACTATGATGAGACCTTCTCACCCGTAGCGATGCTTAAGTCTGTCCGAATCATGTTAGCAATTGTCGCATTTTATGATTATGAAATTTGGCAAATGGAAGTTAAAACTGCATTCCTTAATGGATTTCTTAAAAAGAGTTATATATGATGCAACCAAAAGGTTTTGTCAATCCTAAAGGTTCTAACAAAGTGTGCAAGCTCCAGCGATCCATTTATGGACTGGTGCAAACCTCTCGGAGTTGGAATACGTGCTTTGATAGTGTGATCAAAGCATATGGTTTTATACAGACTTTTGAAGAAACCTGTATTTACAAGAAAGTGAGTGAGAGCTCTATAACATTTCTAATATTATATGTGGATAATATATTGTTAATTGGAAATGATATAGAATTTCTGGATACCATAAAAGGATACTTGAATAAGAATTTTTCAATGAAATACCTTGGTGAAGCTGCTTATATATTGGGCATCAAGATATATAGAGATAGATCAAGACGCTTAATTGGACTTTCACAAAGCACATACCTTGATAAAGTTTTTAAGAAATTCAAAATGGATCAGTCAAAGAAAGGGTTCTTGCCTGTGTAACAACGTGTGAAGTTGAGTCAGACTCAATGCCCGACCACCGCAGAAGATAGAGAGAAAATGAAAGTCATTCCCTATGCCTCAGCTATAGGTTCTATCATATATTTTCTTTTTGGGTTGTGTGCATCTTAGATGTCTTTGTGACTTATTATTAGTGTAGAGATTAGATGTAATTGGTATCTTCATGATATTAATATATTCCCCTTAAAAAAGGTGGAGGCACAGGCCGGCCAAGGCCCACCCGAAAAATCTGAATTTGTTGTTGAATGCTGATGAACAGTAGTTTTTCCTAAAAAAATTCTATAGCTGGCCCTCCTCAACATCAAGGTTCATTGATCATGCCTCCACTACTTAGTACTTCCTTCGTTCTAAAATAAATGTCATTGATTTATTAAACTAGCCGTCGGTGTGAAAACCGATGGATTTCGGGTAGGGGGTCCCGATCTGTGTGTCTAAGGCTAATGGTAACAGGAGGCAAGGGACACGATGTTTTACCCAGGTTCGGGCCCTCTCGATGGAGGTAATACCCTACTTTCTGCTTGATTGATCTTGATGATATGAGTACTACAAGAGTAGATCTACCACGAGATCGTAGAGGCTAAACCCTAGAAGCTAGGCTATGATTCTGATTGTTTTTGTCCTACGGACTAAACCCTCCGGTTTACATAGACACCGGAGGGGGCTAGGGTTACATAGAGTCGGTTAAAAAGAAGGAGATCTAACATCCGGATCGCCAAGCTTGTCTTCCACGCAAAGGAGAGTCCCATCCGAACACGGGATGAAGTCTTGAGTCTTGTATCT